GGCCTCCCAGCGTTCGGGTTTAAAATCACCCGCGTCTTTGCCCCAGACGTCCTCGCGGCGGTGCAACATGTGCACGTTGTACAGAACGGCCCCGCCCTTTTTGATGTAAACGGGGCTCTGGCCGTCGGGGCCACCGCCACGGGGCAGGCTGGTGTCCTTAGTGGCGTAGCGGGCGTTGGTGGGCAAGGGCGGGAACAGGCGGAGCGTCTCGTTGATAACCTGCTGCAGGTACGTGCAGGCCTTGAGGGTGGCAAAGGTGATATTTTGGGGGTCCTCGTAGGTGCCGAAGTCGGCGATGATGGCCTCGCGCAGCTTGCGGAAGACCTCTGGGTGGCGGGAGAGCAGCAGGGTGGTCCAGCTCAGCAGCGCGGCGGTGGTATCGCGGCCGGCGAGCAGGACGTTGAGCAGCTGGGAGCGCAGCTCGATTGGGTCCTTGGTGGTCTCGGCCATGGCATGGACAAAGATGTAAGGCTCCGACGCGCCTTCCTCGGGCTGCGTCTTCTTCTTGTGGTCGTGCAGGGCCTTGGCGACGCACTCGTCGACGAAGCGGTGGACCTCCTGGCAGCAGTTCCGGAACTCCTTGCCGTCGTACATGAACTTCATACGAGGCAGACGTAGGCGCTGTGCCATGTACCACTGGGCGCGGTCAAAGTTCTTGCCAAAGTCGGTCACCTTGGCGCCACTGGCCATACGATCCTCGGCGTCGCCCGTGGCGGCCAGCTGGGAGTAGCAGCTCTCGCCGAAGAGCAGCTCGGTCGCGGAGTCGAGGGTCAGGCTGAAGTAGATGCTCTGGATGTTGACCTCGGTCCAGCCGTTGCTTCCGGCGGCGGGTATGGCGCGCATGGCGTTTTGGACGTGGTGCTCTTCGAGACGCAGGTCGCTGATCTGGTCACGGGTAAATTGGGGCCGGAGCATCGTACGCGAGTGCGACCACTCGGCGCCGTCGTTGATGAACTGCACACTGATTGTCAGCTTGGGTCAGATCTACATGAACGCAAAAGCATGAGGAAAAATTCGAACATACGATTCCCTTGCCCAACAACGGGCCCATGCATCCCAGTCTCTCGCCACCAACGGAAAAGTCCTTGAACTGCTTGGCCAACATGGCCTGGAGGTTCTCGGGGTCAAAGGTGAGGATGTTCTCACCCAGACCTCTCTTGAGACGGAAGGTCGAAACGTAGCGTCCGGCATTGTCGCGCATGATGTTGGTGCGGTTTTCGAGCAGCTCTGGCACCACCTTGTTCTTGTCCGCCTGGATGATCTCTAGAATATCGCCGATCGCGAGGGGGTCCTTGGACGGTGCCATGGGCGCTGGCTTGCAGCCCAGGCGCTTGGCATTTTGACTGTGCCTCCATTTCTCACTCACGATGCGCACGATCAAAGCAAGGCCGGTGAGGATCAGGAGGAGTGTTGAAAGTCCCATGGTGGTCGAAGTACTTGGGATTAGAAGGGTGGGGGGTTATGGTCTGAACGAACGTATGCCTGTGTCAAACAGTCATCCAAGCATCCAATGTCAACGAGTCCCTTCCGACAGCAGCGCCCATAGATATATCCCCTTTTCCCCTTTCATGCTTCATGGTCACTTAGTTTGGCCATTCTTAGTGAATCCCGCAGGCGTCGATATTCCACCCGGTACTCTGTAGTCAGCAGTGCTTATTCTGTACGGATCTCCTCCGTACTCCGTAGTGTGCTAGATCCTTCCAGGGCAGATCGGAGTGGAATTCCGGCAAATGTTACCCAATTGGGAAAACGTTGCTAGCTGACGCTTGGATCCCACATACTTTTCGCCTTGCGCCCGACACAAACAAGGCTGCCTGTCCTTCATGTTTCTTGTCTTCTAGTGCTCCGTACTGATGAGTCTCGTTGCAGTAAGTCGGACCCCATCCATCAGCTTGACAGTCAATCATGCCACCAACACGCTCGCGTCGTACGATGCTACTTATACTTGAACTTTCTCAACACGTGCATTTCCCGCCTTTTTCCACACGAACTGGCTGAGTCCGATTGTCAAATGATTGTTGATTGAGTTTCCTCGACGATCGCCGCTGGGACGCGTGCTTGCGACACGTCCATTCGAAGGTTTACCCCTGGGAGTTTTTGTTTGGGACCCGCGGGGCCAAAATACCCCCATGAGTATGCATAAATAGACATAAATTATGGATAAGCCTGATTAGTCACCTGGCGTAATTTTGGTAATTTTAGGAATTATTTCTGTCACGCTTTTGGGTGGGCGTTACAGAAATATACGCTGTCGACCGGGAAATATATATCCCTCCTACGGAGTACAACATACGTGAAGATCATCACCTTCGTTACGCTATTTCTGCACCTTAACGGATGGGTGACCACATCGATGAGTTTTGCATTATAGATTTAAAGCTTTGCGAGTGATCTCAAAACAATCATTTCGAATTCGATGAATTAAAACCAGGTAGTTTGCGCCTTCTCTATTACTCCCTACCATATACCTCCAATCGCATTAGAAAGCAAGTCGGCAATTTAGACCAAGTTCCACGTTAGAAAGCCAACGGTTCTCTTAAAATCAATAAATAATAGCACAACATGGTCTAAAATAGGATAAGTTGTCTAATATTCGATTGCAACCGGCCATCATCTTTTAAAATCAAGTGCACGAGAAACAATCCGGAAGTAGTTCGAAGGTGCGCGCTGATGAAATTCTCCGTGAGATATTCCAAATGCTGACTTGTATCCTAGAATGCTTGTGCTGGAGAAGGTTTATGATGTGAAAATTGTCAGGGATGGCTAGGATGCATATGACACTGTCAAATCGAATATGGAGAAGGGAGATGTGTTTGATTTAATCTTTATGGAAATCCAAGTAAGAAGCTTGTTTTCGCACTGTCGTGAAAATACTAATCAATACGGATGCTTATCCTCATTGGTCTCGAGAGCACTCGACTGATACGCCAGATGGGATATTCTGCACCCATCGTCGCATTGTGTGCTTTTGCAGAACATCCATGGATGCTTCCAACGGTCGACCTGCCACTGACCCAAGTAGTAAACATATTCAAAGGCCTGCGTTGAAGTAAGTTCTCAGTAAACTTTCTACCATCACTGAGAAAATGGAAGTTGGATCTTGGGAATGATACGACTTTGCTGAAAGATAGGAAAGAAAGAGGGTATATTGCAAGCGCCTAGGTATTCATCCAAAAGACCCACATAACCAAGCCAGGGTTCCCGAAGCTCGCTTGAAGTGTACGGTATAAATATGGGTATGCGATGCACTGGGTAACCTTCAACCTTGAAGAATCTCAGCGTCGATTATGATACGTTTGAGAGGCTTGCCAAGGAGCAGGGAGGGCTAACAGCAATGATGGATGCATATAAATTACAGTTGGACTGTGACTGTGACTCTGGCTTTGATCTTGATTGCTGCGGAAAATTATTTTCACGAACGACATTGGAAATACCATGAGAACTGTGGCTCGCAGTGATCTATGTATACATTGGCTCGAATAACCAAAGGGTGCACCATGGATCGTGAAAATAACAGAATGGGAGTTTTCTAATAGGTAATCTCGAAGCTGTAGGTAGGATCATAGTGAATAGCCCAGTATCCATCCCATATCTTCTTGGTAACTGGCCCAACCTTTCCATCCTTCACCGGGTTGCCATCAAGACTGGTGATGGGCATGATACCTCCAGCAGTGGTACACATAAAAATCTCGTCCGCATCATAAACCTTTTGCACAGGTACCAACTCAACCCTAATCTCAAAGCCGCTGGCTCGAGCGACATCAATCACACTCTTGCGTGTAACACCCTCAAGCACTCCACGAGCTGGAGTGTACAAGACATTGTCCTTCACAAGAACAATATTAAAGCCCGAGCCTTCGGTGAGGTTGGTGTCACCGTCGGTCAGGAAGGGATATTCGGCACCGCGGTCAGAAGCCTCAAAGAGACCGCGAACCAGGTCACCCCATTGTAGGTTCTTGACAGTGGGGTCGATGCAGCCAGGCGGGACGCGACGGACGGTTCGTGCAATGATTGCACTTCCACCAACGGGCTGCACCTCTGGTTCCATGCACCAGACATAGGGTTGGATAAACATGTAGATCCGGTTAACGATATCCTCAGGGCGAGAGCCTCGAACACCCTTCAACCCACGTGTCACAATGATTTCGACGAAGGCGTCACGAATGCCACTCTTTGACACCATATCGACCAGAATCTGCTTCACCTCATTGCGCGGAAGGGGGAGCTTCATGCGTAGCTTAGTGCAGCTGGTTTCCAATCGGGTGATGTGGTCATCGAGGCGGAAAAAGCGACCATCCCAGACGGAGGGAACATCGTATGTCAAGTCGCTGTGCATAAAGCCTTGGTCGAGGATCGGGATACGGGCCTCATGGAGGGGAGTAAATTCCCCCTCCACCCAAGCGACACCTTTTGCGAAAGGGTGGGTGTTTGCTGCAAGGACTTTCTGACGCTCCTGATAGGCGGCAAAGATCTTTTCCATTGTAGCCATGATGACTGTTCTTTTTGGAAGGGGCTTGGGGGTTTGGGAGGTTTAATTAGGATAATCTTTTGATGATGAGAGTGAGAGTGAGAGTAAGATTGTGAGCAAAGATAGATACTTAGGTAAATATAAGTACTTTTAAATGTCTCTGTGTGCGAGAGCTTCTGTATGCGAGACATCATGACCACAAAGAGAAATTTCTGATATGGTGATATAAGACCCGATAGGGCAAGTGACATTCTAAGGTTGGCCAGGTTTACCCAAGCGCCGATGCGGGGATCCGATCGCCTCCCCGATCGGGTAATGTCGATATTACCCGATCGGGAAGGCGGGCCAGTCATCGGGAAGACCACGCCTCCAAGGCTGGGCACTTCCAAGGGTGGTCCTCAGGGTCAGGTGACATTGAGAACGAGGCTGAGAAAATATTTTGAGGAATTTAGGAAAACCATTCACAACTAACTACATTACAGTTTTATTCCCCGTGTTTATGTGGCGTGGATCCCAAAGTGAAAAAAAAATCATGGCAAAGAACATCGTGGTGATCGGGTAAGCATCGACGGTAACCCATAAGGGTAAACAAAACAAGTTGTTGATCATTTGAGTAGGGCTGGTGTTGCTGGATTGACGACGGCCCTTCTTCTATCAAAGAAATCTGGCTATAACATCGTCGTTGCAGCGAAACATATGCCTGGCGACTATGATATTGAATACGCATCACCATGGGCTGGTGCAAACTATATGCCGTAAGTCAAGCACATCCAGTCAAAAATTTGATTATAATTCCTTATTTAATTCATGACCACAGAGTGTCTATCAGCGGAACTGATGCTGCAGAATGGGACAAAAATACATGGGGCCCACTTGAAGATCTCGCGACAAACCACCCTGGAGCAGGTGTGCATTTTCAAGGTATATAAGGCATATCACCTTCTATTTGTGTCTTCTTTACTAAACAATTGGTACAGAATGTGAGATACACAATCGAGCGAAGGATGTCGGATCAGCGACGGCCAATTGGTTCAAAGAGTTATTATCCCCCAACCCTTGGTTTGCCAGGGTTGTCCCAAACGTGAGTTTTGAAAGGCCATCAACGCTTCCCCCTCCCCCAACTCCTATCAGGATCCTAACTTGAAGTCTAGTTTCGGTCACTTCCAAAAGAGGCTCTTAGTCCAGGCATAGACTCGGCTACAGTCTTTACCTCGGTATGCATCAATACAGCAATCTACCTCCCATGGCTTGTTTCCCAATGTCTGTCAAATGGGGTAATTTTCAAGCGAGGCGTGTTTGATCACATTCTCGATGCTGCTGCTTCTGGAATCCACCCGAACGGCCGTGTTGACCTAGTGGTCAACTGTACAGGTTTAATGGCGTCTAAGCTAGGTGGAGTGCAGGACACTTCAGTGGTCCCTGCACGAGGACAAATTGTTATTGTCCGCAACGATTCAGGGAAAATGCTGGATATGTCTGGAACGGACGATGGCGATGAGGAAGCCTGCTATGTCATGACTCGAGCAGCCGGTGGAGGCACAATCCTCGGCGGGTCTTACCAGAAGGGCAATTGGGAATCCCAACCCGATCCAAATCTAGCAATCCGGATCATGAAGCGAGCTGTGAAGATGTGCCCCGCGTTGACGAATGGGAAAGGAATTGAACATCTGGATATAATTCGTCATGGAGTTGGGCTAAGACCTGTTCGAGAGGGCGGTACTCGGATCGAAAAGGAATTTATTGGAGGAGTTTTGGTGGTTCACAACTATGGTGCTGGGGGTGCTGGGTATCAATCCTCGTATGGGTGCGCACAGGCCGCGGTCGACCTGATTGATCAAGCCTGGAATGTCCAAGCCAAGTTATGAAAGTGGAAGTATTGACCTAAAAACCTTGACGCTCTAGTATTTGTTAAGAATAAAATTTCAAGATTTATTTTGTACGAATAATTAGTTCATTTAAACTAATTATTCATGCGAATGAACCCCTTCATTGCTGTGAGGTACATTGTGGCCAATACTCTTCTGGGCACCTCGGGAAACTATGCGAGCCAAGTGATGCCATCTGAGGGGTAAAAGGGGGTAAACCGGCAACAGATAAGTTTGGAGAGTGTTTAGATCTGGGGTTAGTCTAGATAGAGATGAAGTTAGATGTACGGAGTACGGACTGCATATGGAGGTGGAGATATACGAGAGAAAGAGAGAGATAACGAAGAGTTCCGCAGTGGATTCCGCGGAAATGTCACCTGCTGTCACCTGCTCAGATTAATTTCCCAATTCAGAAGGAGAGCGACACCTTGATTCCTCTACAACAGTACATACACACCCACACACACACACCCCCCACAAAAGAAGAAAGAAATGGACTATCTTCCAGTATCTGACGTGATGATTTCTGATCAAGGAAAGAGAACAAATTCCCTTGGATTTGCTCAGACAGATTGTCATACTTGTGCTTCTTTGAGCGAAAAGTGCGACCGACGTCGACCACGATGCTCAAAATGTCTCGGGCAAGACCGCAGATGTGGTGGCTTTGCAATGCCTCTCTCGTGGGATCCTAGACGAATGTGGTCAGACAATCCTTCGGTGGCTGGTGCATCCAAAGATCTACCCAATGAGGAGATCGTCACCGACTCCTCCCCCCAAGTCTGTCCCCACTGCATTTCCTGTACGGTCGGATTCACCTAAATGTTTTCGCTTCGTCAAAGGTGTTTCTAGACCAAAGAAGCGTCGGAGAGTCAACTCGCCAAAGGAGCAAGCAAGCCGATCAATTGTAACAGAAAATACGGCGGATACCCCGGAGGTCGTGCTTAGAACGGCAGCGCAGAACCTGGAGATATTCGATGATCACCAAAGGGGCAATGCGTTAGCTGGTCTGGGTATGTTTGATTTTTCTTCCCCTGCAATGTTTCATCGCTACATGTTTCTCACAATTTGTTCCTTAGAGCCTCAAGACGGACACCTTGACGATTTCAGTTTATTTGACTCCATACTTCCTAACATTTTTGCGTCTACTCCGTTCCTCGATATTGAACTCCAGGAACCATTGGCAGCAGAGGCGCCGGGTCTAATAGAAAAACCCAGAATGACAACTCTTTCTCCACCAGATAGGCCCATCGAGCCGGTCTTACAGAACCTACAAATCAGTTCAACGGGTCAAAGTATTGCCCCCATGTTAAGGGATGAAGCAGAACAAGGTGTTCTAGGTGATCCAGCCCCACGAACCATAGAAGAACCCACAATTCCTTATGCTTCAGCGCGTCTTCAAGCCGTTCCTATGATATCCGAAATCTCATCCAACGACCATGAAAAGCTTCTTGAATTATGTAAGAGCTCTTCGCAACCCACAATTTTCTGATATTAGATCAAGCTTATGATACCATAGATGACTCCGAATTCTGCGTGCTGCCTCTCACAGGTGATATACCCGGGGCAGTGAATCCATTTCGCTGCAAACGTCAGACGTCCCAACGCTCCCGCCTTCTCTTTCATTCTATTCTAGCCCTATGCTGTCAGCATCTAGGGCGGTTGGCTGGTACCTGGCCAAGTGAAGCCGCCGAGCATCGCCGGAAAGCTGTTCAGTTACTTGAATGTGCATTACAAAGTAGCCCAGTGCTGAGCCTATTGGAGCCTATACTCATTCTTTTTACTCTTGATGCAAGTCATTCACATCAGTCATTTATGGAAATATGTGGCTGAATTTTAACACATGGCCCTAGTGTACCCTCTCCGCTACTGGGAATTGGTCAACCCACCTCATGCGGGCACACTCCGTGCTTCAAACCCATGGAGGCCCGAGAGCATTGACGACGCCTCGCATTAGGTCACAAGTCGCAATGTTAATCTGGTAATAACCTGAAATATCTTTGGCCTTGAGAGTTGTGTTGCTGACCTTAAAAACAAGGTGGGATGCCACACTCGCCTTGATATCTCGACAGAGTCCTATCATGGACCAGGCATATCTGGATTTTTTAGTACGATGGGAGAAGCAAGACGAATGGTCTTTCTTCGATCTCACTGGGTGTCCCCAGCAATTACTAGTTCACCTCTTTCAACTCTCAGAGTTAGCCAAGCAGTGCGAAGTTGCCTTATCCATGAAATGGCTGACTTTCAACATGACTCCAATCACAAAAATAGAGCATGAACTAATCGAGTGGAAGAATGATACAGACTCTCCATCAAGTGATGATGACTCTGACTTGACTGAAGAAGATGCAATAAAGCAATTCCACGAGCAACAAGATCGCTACCACTGTGCTGAGGCCTGGCGATATGCGTTGCTCCTCTATCTTGAATATATCTTCAAGGGTGATCGTCAAAGACGATCCATCTGCGTCACTAGATTGGTGCGCAAGACTATTGACCACATTCGGTGCTGTCGACGGACATCCCAGACCCAAAAGCAGCTCCTTATCCCGGTCTTCCTCGCCGGTAGCGAGACCTCAGATGATGATATGCGCCATTTTGTGAAGGAATACTGTGCTTACTGGGGCGAGAAATCTCGTTATAGTATGTTTAATTCTGTTCCGGTACTTTTTGATGAAATCTGGGCCACAGGGAAATGGTGGGGTGCGGTGATTGACAGCAAGACACGACCTAGCTCTGGCCATGGGCAGGGAGCCATGCAACTGTTATTTGGATAGTGTTGGCGTTAGGAATTGTATTCTTGCCTAGGTCTGAGTATACCTACTATATCATTCGTTCGTATTGCTAGTCATGTTCGTATTGCTAGTCATGTTCGTATTGCTAGTCATGTTCGTATTGCTAGTCATGTTCGTATTGCTAGTCATGTTCGTATTGCTAGTCATGTTCGTATTGCTAGTCATGTTCGTATTGCTAGTCATGTTCGTATTGCTAGTCATGTTCGTATTGTCAAGCTATACTTGATATATAGTTTATATATGAATTACCATGTAATCATCGATGTTTTGGAAAGGATATGGAGGCATGGCTACTTTGGGAGGCGTATCACCTATGAGTAGAGTGATAATTGGCAGATAGGAAGCCGAATTACTTCATTTGCGAATAAATGACACATATTCTGTCGTGGCTACCTGGGATACCACCCCAGCACGGTTGTACTACCCATGCATCCTTCAAACCCCCCTTGTCTATGACCCCTCTAGAAGGAATCGCACATAATTCTTCGTAGTTAGTACCTGTGCCCTTAGCCCTACCATTTAAATAACTCCCACTAAGGCTTGGCTGATAATGGCTAATATATTAAGTCGTATAGGGAGGTGTACCACCAAAACGGACCAACTTAAACTAGGCGTGATGATAGGATCGATGGCTGCGCACTGGATATTTGCTTTATATATAGTGATGAGATAATTAAACTAATGTTATAGGATTTCTGCAATACATGTCCTAGCCTAATTTCCATCACGCTCTTATTGTTGCACCGGTGGAATATAATCTGAGGTCCAAAGCGGGCACGCAGTAAATCGCAGTATCATCAGCACGAAACGCCAATAAGCTCTTTGGAAACTTCAATATAGACAAGGTCGTTGTTATCACCCTCGTAAAATATTCCGAACCTGTCATCGCCGAGCGCGGTAACTGTCGAATAAGCCATTGGGCCTGACTGGAAAACTGTGCCAGGAGACCAAGTCTTTCCGTCGTCACATGAATAGCGGATTGTTCCATTGCTTCTGCTCGTCTTGTTGTTTGCGTTTGTAAATAAGAGGACTTTGGCATTGGCTGAACCTTGTGCCGCATCAGGATACATTTTCGTAATTGCCCCGTTGTTTCCTGGGTCAGGGAGCTGGGTTTCGCTTGTTGGGGTTGACCAAGTTTCACCACCATCTGTTGAAGTTGCAACCTTTCGATATCCACTACTATCACTCGGACGTGAATTAAGCATCAAGTTGCCATTGGACAGCTCCACGACTTTGTTCTCATCCATGCCTGTGCCAATAACCTTTCCCATGTTCCATGTAGCGCCACTGTCGTCACTGTATACGCTATAGGCTTGTGAGACCCTCGAGCCGTCTAATTGGACCACTCTCCCGAGGAATTGTTGAACTAGACGCCCGGCGTATGTGCCATATTTGAGCTGAATCCCTTCGCCGGATGAAGCAAATAGGCCAGTGATTCCACCGGTGTTAGCTACCCCGTTGATAGTACTACCAACTGGCTTGATCGCATTTGTAATGAGTGGAGGTGCGCCAATATTGGTAGATGCAATAGGAGGTAAAGAGGATTGATGGGCCGGATCGGTGGTCCAGCTCAGCCCCCTATCAGTAGAAACTGACACTTCCGCGCTAACTATATTCAGGTTGGTATCGTCATTTCCGATCGCACTGTTGACAAATCCCTGGTTCTTCGAAAAAACATGAAAATTGAAAACTTTTCCAGTCTTAGAGTCAACCACATAGCTTGGGTCACTAAACCCGTACTGCTGGAGTGTCGATGTCTTGGCTTGGCCTTGCGCAATATATGTCGGTTCACCCCAAGTCTCCCCACCATCCGTACTCCGTCGTTGCAGAATTGAATTTGGTGATGGGGAATCACCTCCATCTGGGCGCCCATCGTATGAGGCCAGGAGGACCCCATTGCCCAAATTTGCCAAGGCGACAATTCGGTAGTATGGAAACAGTCCCGCTCCATTTGTCGTGAGCGTGTGCTTGGAAGTTATGCTCGCACTCACTGCGGGAGTTGCTACGGCGAGCATGGCGCATAAAGAGATAGCGCGCAAAATGGAGCACTCGCGTGCAGAATGGATCAATGTGGAAAGCATCTTTAATTACTCCACCACTCCATGTGGCTAGCGGGGACTAGGAGTAAAAGAGGAAGTATAAAAATAGTTGGCTGAGAGGATGTTAGACTAAGATTCTTCCGGAGGAATAAGGAGGCATTTAAATAGAATATTGGATTTGTTTTGAGCCTCAATATGGTAATCTGGACAAAAGAAATGAATGACAATCTATTCGCTCAGGTAGACATAAACACAATAGTACATAGTATGTACATATGGATAACTCGTTAACTAGCTACATAACTACCTACCTAGGTAGGTACATAGCATAGGTAGATAGTTCACGTCAATTTGACTTTCTTGGCTGACGTCATTTCCCCCGCAAAATGCAGACTTCGGGAGATATCCACTGGTTCCACTAGTTCTGCTCCAGGGCTGGTTTACCTATCCGCACCAACTCTACACGCTGACCTTTCTAGTCATAATTTCATTCTTGTCATGTTGGAGAAACCTAACGTCAAAACCATCCGCATGACGCCACGCGGTGCCATGCGATACCTGCCGCTTTTCATGCCTCCACTAGATATCTGAACGCGATCGCGAGGATCCGATCGGAGATCCGATCGGCTTGCATTTGCGACGCGATCGGGTCCAATATTACCAACCTGTAACCCCACATTAGGTGGGGATGTGCAAACACCTACGGCAATAAAACATAGTACTTAATGACTCTCGAAATTCGTAGTAATGGGGACCTACTATTATTTGCAACATTGACAGTCATCGATTCTTCAGTTATGGCATCCAACAGCACCAAGACCAACAAGCCATTCCCACCAGGAATTCACGGCCCTTCCATCACCTTCTTTCAGGATGATCAACAACAGGAGATTGATTGGGCAACTCAGGAACGGCATCTGGAGTATATGATCACTTCTGGGATGCACGGTGGTAAGTCTCATTAGAACAGCTTTATGGAGTAGAGCTGATAGAATCATAGTTGTGCTCGCCGGCTCCAGTGGTGAATCAGCCACTCTGAGTGTGGAAGAGAAGGGCATGTTGGTGAAAAAAACCCGGGAGATCGCCGACGCCCATGGGAAGAGTGATTTCACTGTCACCATGGGCTGTTTGGCTGGCTCCACCCGTGATATCCTGGTCCAGATCGAAGCCGCCTACAAGAACGGTGCTGATTTCGCCCTGGTTTTGGTGCCAGCCGTGTTCCACTGGGCGATGACCCAGAAAGCCATTACCGACTTTTTCGAAGAGGTGGCTGACCGTGCCCCCATTCCCATCGTGATCTACAATTTCCCTAACCTTTTGTCCGGATTGGATGTCAACTGTGATATGCTGGAAAAGCTTGCCGCCCACCCCAACATCTCCGCGGTCAAACTGACCTGCGGAGGAGTTGGAAAGGCCACAAGGGTAGCAGCCAAGTTTGAACCAAGCCAGTTCACTAGTGTATCTGGAATGAGTGACTGGCTGGTGGCCGCATTCGCCGCTGGAAGCACGGGTTGCATTTCAGGTGTTGCAAACATTTTCCCTCGGGTAAGGACAGACCCCATGCACAGCAACAAGTACCAATCATTAATCTATTTGGTAGGTTATGGTGGAAATTTACGATCTGTTCATGGCTGGGAAGATTGCAGAGGCTACTGCGCTGCAGAAGAAGCTGGTCCAACCTGAATGGGGAATTGGAACATCAGACGTCAATGGAATGAAATGGATTATAGCCAAGGAGCGTGGCTATCCCTTGTCCAGTGCGCACTGCCGCCGACCATTCCCTAAGTTCGACGATTCGGAGAAGCAAGATCGAGTCGTGCGATTGGTCGCACCCCTTCTCTCCACTGAGGAGGAACTGAAGTCGAAGAAGGCGTAGATAAAGATCAAACACCATGCATACTGATGTCCGCTAGATAATAGAAAGAATGAAAAAGAAAATCGCGAAATCGGCATTCACATCACATGTCACGCTCACCATAACTAGTTTAAACAATAGCGAAAGTGGTATAAAATAACTCTAAACATACAGAACGAATGTCGACGCGCTTTCCTCCTTCACGTTGTCTTCTTTGGGTTTCTTGTAGTACGTCGGCCGTCATATTCGCATTGGTGAAGACATGTTGAAGCCCACGAATGGTTTCAAGAATCCATTGAAATTCGTTATAGTCATCTTCTTCAGTACCCCACAGAAATAATGGCCACAACATATTGACCGGTATAGGTTCCTGATTGTTGACCATGCAATGCACTATTTCCTTGATTTTGGAGAGCGCTGTCACTGCTGCCTTAGAACGAACTAGATGACGGTGTGCAACTCGATGTAGGTGAATGTAGCAGGCGTAAAAGTTAGCAAGGTACGTCTGGAATGAGCGAACAATAGTGGATGCGAGCGGCTCGGCCAAAGTATCACTGCCGATATTTCCAGCCACAGCATGGTCTGTCAGTGGTGGTCTCCGGTCATACAAAGATGACAGATCCATCAGAATATCAGCTGCGATAGCCATTACTTCAGTCTCGTCCTCCACGCTCCCTCGGCTGCGGTGGTTATGAGCGATTCTAGTGATGCGGCCGGTGATAGTCTGGACTTCCTGGAAGAAAGCTATTCCTGGCTGGCATAGCAGATCATAAATCACCTCATGGGCTCCAGGATTACTGGCAGAGCCTATGCTTTGAGGCGTTGAGCTAGGAGAGGTCGAGTTTTGGGGCGAGGTATAGATTCCAGATGTGTCATTGACCAAGACCCCTTCCCCCCAGCCGATGCCGCGCGGGCATCTAACAAACGAATCCAGGAGATAATTCGTAGCTCTAATACCGCTGTTTGTTAACAAGAAGACCATCGAGTTAGCGAGTTCTTCTACACACCCGTGGAGCCCAAGCTATTTCTCTCTGATGCTTGCAGCGCGCTATGTGCCTTTCCAAGATTCAAATAGGCCAAATCCAACCGTGCAGTAAGGAACTGAATACATGATCAGCGGAAATAAACAATAAATCGGCATGGAGTAATAGAACCCACATTTATGTACGTCAGAAAGAAAATAGTAGCCAGAACGTATCTGAGTTCATCGTTGCTGATTATAATTTCCCCAGCAGATTTTTCAAACTTTTGCGACAAATCTGCCGCAGCATTATCATAGTGTTGTTGGTAATCCACTTTCCCGCCTGCACCTCCGGACTGTATTGCTTCGAAGGCTGTGATCGAAGAGCGGAGCATCGGGGAAGAGGTTGCCATGCTTTCAAGCAGTTCCCGCGCAGAAGCGCATCTTGGGCCATTCTCAACCGGATCCAGAATTGGTGGGAGGTGTAAGTGTAGCGCGCCTTCGATATCCGGATTCGCGTTTGGGGATTCTTTTGGTGACTGTCGTGGAGGGAGAGGCGAAGTTGGGGAACCGGCGTCGCTAGATCGCGCTTGCTCATATGAAGTGTTTCCCAAGGCGGTAAAATCACCAAAGTCTGGGAAGTAAACATTTTGGAACATGTGAAAGCCCTCTGTTGGAGCTGTCATGGATTGAAAGTCAAAGAGCTGAGGCGAAGGAGATAGCTGGTTGACCTCCAAAGCGACATTTGACTTGAAAGCATCCACATCATTCTGCGAGGGAGGTTGTCGGCATGGCTCATTGACTTTCCAATCACATTCCAGATTCAGACGTTGGCAATGATAACAGCGAGGTCTTCGTTCATTACACCTAACCTTGCGACGTTTACACGTCAAACAGCCATTTCGCGACCGAGGACCATATGGGCGACGGTGAGTATCTTCACGAGTGACAAGAGGTTGAGGACTCATTATTGGCTTTTTTGGTGGGACCATGAAAGAGGAAAAAGAGAGCAAAGACTAGGTTGTGCTATCATCACAGGTCACAGGCTTATCGACTCTCCTCCGATGGCAGAACACAAAGTATTCAACCTTCACTCGCCCCACCTTACGGGTATTATTGGCCTGTCCAATCAGATAGACGATATAATGACCCCTCACGCCAAGAGTTGATGAAGCTCTATGATTTCCCACATGGAGGCGCTAAGCTGATTGCCTATGTAAGTGTGGTATTCAATACTACGACACTACCACAATACTGCTACGTTGCTGCAACAATTAAGTATGCCATGGTTTAATAGATACTGCGCCGTTGTAAAGCTAGAATTACTATTAATAGGATTACTACTCCTTAACTCCGTAGTGGTTAGATAACGAAGTAATACCTACATATGTAGCTAGGGTTTTGCCGGGGGCCTGTCAAAGCCTAGGAGATGGAAATATCGAGCCCAGATAGTTTATTACAATAGTTTATTGTTTATTAGTTTACATATCAAGCTATGTCATATACAGTTAGTTCATCATATAGTACGGAGTAGAATTGAATAGAATTCATTTCGACATTTAACAGCTTAATCGTTACTAAAAAAACACTAGTTTCACACTACTGCACGTTATAGATTAGCTGTAGATTGGATATTCGATGTGTTCATGTGTATATTAACCTTGGAAACTATATAAGTAGGTACCTAGGTAGCTTGAAGTCTACCCCGCGTCTTTCCCCAAAACGGAAATCCTCTATCTGCCTGCCTATTTGAGAATAATCACCCTTTCCTGTTTGGGTAGGCGAGCGGCTTTTCTGTAATAGGCAACCGACATCGGCTCTCTCAGTTTCATCGGCCCCAATCGGCCCCCATTGCCCAAACTCCATTCTCCCCTCTATCCCCCACAATAACCGACCCGACCATCGGATGCTTCATGGTGAAATGTAGTAGATGTATGCTATTGTGATCATATTAAGAATTATAAAAAGGCACATTGGTCATAAGTAAAGTGAAAACCGTAGAAGTTAAACTAGAACCTGGAAACTGCAAAATCAAATCTCAAACCTCAAACCTCAAGCAAACTCGAACATCATGGCACCTCTCCCAGAAGGAGTCGCAAAGTCCTTGGCAGAGACTAAAGTTGAATATAGACGCCTGGGAAACAGCGGCCTCCGTGTCTCTGTTCCTATCGTCGGATGTATGAGCATTGGAAACCCAGAATGGGCAAACTGGGTCATTGGTCCCGAAAAGGCACTCCCGCTACTGAAGGCAGCCTATGATCGGGGAGTTAACACAGTTTGTTCCTTTTCTCATCTTGTTGGAAACCGGAAGCTGACTGTACCTAGTGGGATACTGCAAACATTTATTCCAATGGCGACTCGGAGAAGGTTATTGCCCAGGCCATCAAGGAATATAACATCCCCCGGCACAAATTGGTGCTGATGACAAAGGCGTACAGCTGTGTTGGAGAGCAACAGTTTCATGCATACCCCATCATTGAGGATCTGAAGAAAACCAAAGATTACGTGAACCAGTTTGGTAAGCTTATGGCAACTAGATTTGTGGAGTAGTCATACTAACTGTCGATGAAAGGACTCTCACGATCGGCAATCTTTACCGCACTGAACAATTCCCTGAAACGTCTGGAAACAGACTACATTGATGTATTCTGGATCCATCGCTTTGACCCTGACACGCCAATTGAAGAAACGATGCACGCTCTTCACGACCTCGTCGTTTCAGGAAAGATCCGTTATCTCGGAGCCTCTTCAATGTGGACATACCAATTTGTCATGATGCAGGCATACGCGGAAAAGAATGGATTGACAAAGTTCATTGCGATGCAAGTACGTACTGAGTCAAGACTCCTGACTGGAACATCCGGATTGCTAATTAGGGAAAAGAATCGTTACAATCTGCTGTATCGTGAGGAGGAACGTGAGATGATCAAGTATTGCAACGAAACTGGTGTGGCTGTTGTTCCGGTAAGATGGCCCGTGATATCTCGATCATTTACAGTTCCTTTGACTGACTGTTTCGTTTTATCACCAGTGGGGCCCACTTGCAGAAGGACAGCTTGCTCGTCCCCTGAACATTCGAGGAACGACTACCAGGTCTGCTGGTGGCGATGAAACTCCTTCAAGCCTGCGCCCTGAATCAATGGAAATCATCAACAGAGTGGATGAACTAGCGAAGCGCAAGCAATGGACTATGTCACAAGTTACGCTAGCGTGGCAGCTGAAGCGAGTGACAAGTCCTATCATTGGGTTCAGCAGCGTTGCGAGAATCGAGGATGCTTTGTCTGCACGCGGTAAAGAGCTTACAGCCGAAGAGGAGAAATATCTGGAGGAGGTATATACCCCTGTCGAGGTGGAGGGCCATTTCTAGGGAGTCAATTAGCACATCATCTCCCTCCTGGGGTCTGTCGTTCTTTCTCTTAGTCCCCGAGCCACGTCCCTGCCGGCTTTGCCTCTTTGCTCTGATATGATGATTCGTGCATTCTAGATCTATACAAAGAATCACACAAGACTCTCTGTTAGGAATATAGTACTTAATTACCCTCCATGGCCCCTTAGTTTTACGTATAGCAACCGAATTTAAATCAAATAAAGCCCTAGCTTCGTAGTTATATAGATACCTGTTGTTCACTTATCCTCGATTCACACATAAGGGAGCATACGCTCGTGGATTCCCGATTTAGAGCAAGGAAATCATTTTCGGCCGGCGAGGACCTTTGTACGGCAAGTAATTTGACAGGACATTGAACTTTGTGATCGAGAATTCTAAGGGCTTTACAAAAATCAGTGACAATGGTGACGTACACCGGCTTGGATGTCATCCTTGTCTAATCACGGCAGAAAAAGTCAATGCAAACCTCTTTGAACATGAAATATATTACATCTAAATATCACCACTCTCAGACTAGCTTGACACGCTTAGCTGTACAAGAGCACAAGACCTTGTGCTGATGGCCTGACGCACTTTCCAGCGAGGCTTCGGTTCAATAAATATACACGAACTCGTCATTATTCCGGTCAGTTATGTCCACGAATGGTGCCGCATCAGTCAGAATTGGCCCCGGTACCTTTCCGTCCGTCTCAAACCCGTGGGTCATGGATCTATCTTGGATGTCCGCAGTTTTTCCATTGCTGATTCGCCTATTTCGGTGTTGCTTGTTTAAAAAGGCTAGATTGAGGACCTGTAGCATTACGCAGCCAACCAAAGCAATAAAGAGCCCGAGAACAGCTCGGATGCCGGGGAGATATGTTGGAGCTTGCTCAGCAGCGAATAGAAGAGGACCGGATAGGGCTCCAGCGGACGTACCAGCCTGGTAAAATGCCATAGTGGTGGATGTTTTAGCGGCGCCGGCAGTATTTCCTATGACCCATGAAAGAAGCAGGGGATTTGCAGCAAACAAGAAGGCACAAAGATAGTAGGCTAGTAGGAGCGGTCCCTGGTTGGCCTTTTCGTGTGGGAGCGCGTAAAGCATTGTGATGCCTGTTATAACCGGGAGCATAAAACAGATTAAAACGGCGGATTTTAGCCTTAATTTATAGGAGGCCCAGCAACTGCCCACGATGACGATCGCTTGCATAGCACCAAACGGTATGTTGAGCAATGAAGTTTGGTAGGCGTCAAACCCGAAACCTTTGACAATAAGAGGGCCGAAGGTACTCGTCATCGCCGATCCCATATTTGGCAGCAAGGCCATGATAACCCAAAGCCAACTTTTAGGCTCCATGATAACTTCGAGAACATGGGACCAGTCAAAGTTATAGGAGGCGGAACCGGTTTTATTTACCCGGAGACGTTCCACGCCTTGTCTCCGTTCGTGTTCAGTAAGAAAGCGAGCGGTCGTGATATCGTTATCGAGTTTCCAATAAATCACGGGCGCGCTCACAATAGTAATTAATCCAACAACAAGGAAGATTCTATGCACTAATTAGCGACATTCTACAGCATAGTCCGTGGTCACTTACATTTGCCACGGCCTCAAAACATCTGAGACAATATGGCCAAGGCCATACGACAAAGCAGAAGCTGCCATAGTCGCTGTTCCGTTCATTGAATTCCAAATAGAAACTCGAAGTGGTTGCTCGACGCGACGATACCATTGTCCGGTGAGGATGGTAAAGAGAGGCATGCATCCGGCTTCAAAGAGTCCCAGAAAGAAACGAACTGTGACCAACCCCGCAAAGCTGTTGCATGCTGCAGTACTTGCTGCTGCAATTCCCCAACAGAGCACCATTGATGGCATCAAAACACGGGGCGGGACCTTCACAATGAGCCATGCGGAGAATGGCTGCCACGCTAGCTGCGCAATAGGGGCAATGGACGAAACCAGAGAATATTGGCTTCCGACGAGACCTGTGTCCTTCTGAAGATCGAAAACAGAAGCCGTTCCTAAGACGCCCTTGTCTAAGACCTAAGAAGGGGGGTATCAGCATCGTATTTGTTGGGTGATTGGTTTAGGGCTTTTACCTGCAGAAAGTATACCCAGGTAAGGATTATTAGAATCGTTTTATCGGTCTTTCTTCTGATGTTAAGGTTCTGGAAAGACAGGTGTCAGCATGTTTTCTTTTATCGGACATTATTAAGATGGAAATACCTCCTCATTGGTGAGAGTGACCATCACACCTTCTTTCACCATCTCCAGACCTGACCTGTCCGAGTTGGCCTTTGGATTTATGGACTTCGAGTCCGCAAAATATTCAATATCGTGATTGTGCATCGTGGGCGAATTCCGATTCTTCTCAGGGCAATATAAAGCTGGAGAGAGAAGTCTTGGATGAGCAAGGCCGGAAATCACCCGAGGAGATCTTGTCAAGAGCTCTCCCTGATAGCGCAATCTTGGGAAAGTTAATTACATGATTATTCACCCCTCTATCGATTGCCGATCCCATATCGAGAGTCTGGGGTAAACCGTAATCTTGTTTCCCCGGAGTGGGACCTGGGCACTTGGCGTACAATACTCCTTACCCTGTACTCTCCCACTGAAGGTGGTAATCTTGCATCCTCAAAATCAGGTTATCCATATTCAAGCACTGGGAATATGGTTTACTACACTAAGGTTACATTCCCCTCTTTGGCAATAATCCATTATTTCAAGACTTCATACTCGAGATAAGATATCTCGGGCAATGTTTTAGATTCTATTGGCTATTTTCTTGTTTTCAAGCAAATTGATTTAATTTTTGAAGATAACATAAGGTTTAAAAGCGGAAATAAAATATAAAGACCAATTTTGGCACAAATGTAGCGTAACATTGCAAGGTTGGATTATAAGCCCCTAAGCGAGGGGCGATAAGCGGTTTTCGTCGACACCATTGGATAAGCAGGAAGGTATTACTCTGTAGTGGACCTCTAAATTATCGCCTAAGCGATTGGTGGACCAGGTCTGTTTTCCGACCGGATTAAATAAGTAGATGGTGGAGCACGCGTTTAACCCATGCGAGCTTGGGGAAAAGCCTCACCTATTTGGGATCACCCGATCGGGTGTCGGGAGGAAGCTACCAAGTCATTGTCAGAAGTATCTAACCATCTAACCAATTTGAGGATAGATAAGTGGCTCATCTCTGCTCTTATTCCAAATGTAGCAAATTATTATTCAGTAACCTACCTATCTTGGAATTCTGGTGTGCATCTATCCTGGCTAGAGTCATACGGCTTTAAAAGAATAGCCTCCTGTACTAATACGGGTACAGACAACTTAAATCTCAGGTGCTTCACCGATCTGGTCAGGAATCACCTAACCCCTCTTTTTTGTCCCCCAGTAAGTGTCACATTCCACCCGGACCAACAGCTGGTGCGGACACGAAAAAATCTTGAACTGACCGAATGCTTTTACAGGAATGGCTCCCAATCAAGACACTCAAATCATTGGTTATGCCGAACCTTGGATTGTTTCCCCTGGAGACCCGGTTGATATCAAAGTAGGTTCGCAATGTTCCAAAGTTCTAAGGTTATTTCCAACCTTGGAAGGTTACACCGGTGGTCAGGGATGTTCCCCGGATTAGCGGGGTACCTTGGTACCTTTCTAACGCTAACCCGTTTCAGATTTCGAGTACCGAAAAAGGATACGATCACCGTTTAGTGCGCCTGGTCCAGGGGTATAGCGGTCCTCATGCTCCCCCTGTTGTGCTGGAGGACATCACCGAAGTTCCCGTTGGACACCACGAGGATGGTTCCTATCAAGATGCTTGCTCAGGCTCCTATGCTATTATTCCATCCTGGGCAGGAGTGACACCCGCAGTGGGCGAGGGCATCGAAGTAGAATTTCATGCACAGCCATACTTGCTTGATGTGGAATACTATTGCCAAACGCTTATATCCTGTCTCGACATATCTTCTCGGAGTGGATTCGCAGTCGTTTTGAGAAACTCTATGTTGGAATTTTTCATTGGCACAGGGGATAATATCCAGGTTATCCAGAGCCAACTTGTCGTGAATCGTTGGCGGTGGCTCCGTATCCGCCTCAGTGTTGTTAACAACACCTTCACCTCAAGTATCCATCAGTTGAACCGTCTAGCTGAGACCGCTCCCAATGGCGAACAGATGACCACCACCCTGTTGGCCCCTATGATTTTGGGTTCGAATTCGTTGTTGTTTGGTGCAGGCATGTTCAAAGACATAGGTCAACAAAGCTCTAAACCATCGAGCTTTTACAATGGCCGAATCGACTGTCCTTCCTTTACCATGACAAGCTCATCTCGGCGCACAGTCGCGAAGTATGACTTCTCCAAGGACATCCCCAGCGACTCCATCGTTGATATTTCTGGAAACGATCGACATGGTGTGTTGGTCAATGCACCCACACGAGCAGTCAAGGGATTTGACTGGGATGGCACTCAGCCAGACTGGACCAAAGCTTCGTATGGGTATGGAGCTATTCATTTCCACGAGGATGATCTGGATGACGCAAAATGGGAAACAAACTTTTCCATTACGATCCCATCCACGGCTCGCTCCGGTGCATATGCCGTTGAAGTCAAGTGTTTGGACGGAACAAGCGACATGATCACTTTCTTCGTCCGACCGAATCCCAGTTCCACTGCACAGGTGGCGTTGGTTCTCACAACATTCACATACCTTGCGTATGCTAATGAGCGAATGTTTGATGAGACCAAATCATCAGCGATGACAACTCCGGACGGAGTTAGCATCGGAAAAGGCAATGAGTATTATAAAAACTTGCACCGACGACCGGATTTGGGCCTCTCAGCCTACGATGTTCACACGGACGGCTCCCCCTGCGCATACTCCAGTGCTCGGCGACCGATACTCAATCTCCGACCCGGATATGTACACTGGGCCTTGGACCGCCCTCGCGAATTCAGCGCTGATCTTCTCATGGTTAGCTATCTGGAACGTTCCGGAATTCCCTACGACGTTATCACTGATCATTGCTTAAGCACCAGAGGTCAGGAAGCAACCTCGCCATACACGACCCTCATCACGGGCTGTCATCCTGAATACCATTCTCTTAATTCTCTTGATGCCTTTAGTGCATTTGCAAAGTCTGGGGGCAATATGATGTACTTGGGCGGGAACGGGTTTTACTGGGTAGCCGACGTTGTCAATGAACGACCTCATCGCCTTGAAGTTCGGAAGGGCGACCAAGGTTGTCGGTCGGTCACATTCCCCGCTGGAGAAAGAATGCACAGTCTCACTGGATCCCTTGGGGGATTATGGCGCAGCCGCGGTCGTGCTCCCAACTACCTCTGGGGGATTGGGCCATGTGCGTTCGGTACTGGAAAGGGAAAGCCTTATACCGCAGATCTGCGATATGCCCAGGATGCCCAGCTTAGCTGGATTTTCAACGGCATGGACCCATCTGAGCCGATTGGTGAAAATGGCTTCGGTGGCGGTGCCAGCGGTGACGAGATTGATCGCCTAGATTATGCGCTTGGGACACCATCCAATGCGGTCCTATTGGCCAGAAGTCAACAGCATGATGATAGCTTTGGACTTTTCAATGAGGACTCGATGTTCCCCATGGTGAATACTCTCGGTTCCAATTGTGATATGGTCAGAAGTGACTTGGTATATTATGACACTGCGGGAGGTGGTGCAGTATTCGCCGTTGGTAGTATCAACTGGTACTGCAGCCTCGCTTGGGATGATTATAATAATAATGTAGCTACAATGACTGGCAACGTGCTGAGAGAGTTTGTGAGAAGAGGAAAAGGTGGTGGTATTCAATGAGATTACCAATGGGAAGAAGTGCCCCTACAAACTTACCTAGGTAGCTAGAAGTTGAATTTCACCTTATTTGCTCTCTTTGCTTTTTCGTTCCCTGTTATATTGCCTTGGTGAAGTCTAAAAGATGGCCAAAGGACAAATGCCTGACTTTTCAGGTTAGATGTCTTTAAAAACGAAATTCCCGTTAGACAATTTTATATAGATATATATTTCTAGGCGTTGAATCCATTCCGACTTACAAAATAAACCATTCTCATAATACAAGTCCTGAAATTCCCTTTTATATGGTTGAGGGCGATTTTGAACGCTAGGGACCCGAAGAAACTAATGATTTGTTGGGTGGGAATAGCTTCAATTTTGAGGAACATGGAGATTTATGCCTTGAATTTAGAGTACGTGTCGAGTACTATGCATTTATGCATGCTGAAATTACCAGGTCTTTACAAACCGGAAAATCAATGGACCGTCATGATAACGGTACCATACAAAAATACATGCATTGCTTAATCAGCTATGTCCGCCGAGATTGGAAAAGAGCGGATCTTGTCATTTTAGTTAGTGAGAGAATTTACATATGTCAGATTTACCATACATTGTCGTACCCGCCTATTTCTGTCAGTACGCAGTAGTTATAGAGCGGGGTCAAAAGCGGAAAAGCGGTCTATAATTCAGGCACCCAAAGGCATCTAAACCTGAGAATCAGGCATTTTGCTTTGGCCGCTCTGCCCCTTCGAGAGACAAACTGTTTCCCACTGAGGAACGATGTTTCCTTTCTCTCTTTTCGATATGCATACCTCTGCAAAAGGTTATGTTGTTCTTGTCCTTTTTATTTCTTTTTTTTTGTTAAAAAGGTAACACTTACTGAAAGCCATAGGCTGGGTTAAAGTCTCCATTTTTGAGATCCCTATCTGCAATATGTAATACTTGGACCGCGAAATGTAATATAGTAATATATGATGGCTTGTTTAGTTCATTCACTACATGAAGAACAATGAAAGTGATGGTTCCTACGTAATTCTGCTTCAGTGCAATACTAACACTATAATTTAGGGATTTAAATTCCTACTATGTGAATAAACTTGTTCAGGCCTGTAATGCTGTTTTTCTAGCGAATCAAAAGATAGGTGTTTGTACTGTGGACTACATAGGTTGAAGTGAAGAGGTTGTAGTCAACACTGCCCATAGTTTTCCCCTTTATGCAAGTATACAGTTCCCCCTGAACAATTACGCCATTCTCCCACACGGTTCGTCAATCTGACATTAGAACATGTTGGTAAGCCACTGGAGTAATGAATTTTCCACGAGAACAGAGACATCAATCCCCGAGGCCTACTTGAACGAAGTATCGTTCGCTGTCAAACACTAAACTGGATAGACTTGTTCAAAATTCCAAAATGACAGTTTCCCTAGTTATAGTGCCTACTATGTGCTGAATAGCCACTGCACGCTTTCAAAGTAGCCTAGCTATCAGATCAGGAATCTTGATCATTATTGACTGGTGACTCCGCATTTGATAACCGCAAGCGTATGATAGGGGATGGCTTTTCTCTTATTTCAGGATACGGTAATTCTCATAGCTCTAAGCTGATTTAATCTATTAATATCCCCATTCGCGAAAATCAATGGAGAAGCATCGACGGAGAGTGGCCCAAAGCGGATTTAATTTGGTCCCGAGGACACACTAACGCAAGCCTTCGTAACCCATTTCCCCCACTCTACTCACAGGGGGTACCCGATTTGAGGACTAACTAACATACATGAGCGCACGTACGTGCTGACAATACCAAATAAGCACAATTATGGAGCAAATAGGCGGAGTTGAGGCGGACTCCCGACGTCCCCCGGGGGCCGGTTCGCTTACTTTGGATAAGCTTTCTTTTCTTGGTCTGTTCTCTTCCACCCGCTCAAAGGTTGAGTCTTTGTCCTCATTTACACTCATATTAGCGACTAATGCCTTCTACACCTAGCGATCAAATACGTCTATTCTTTTCACAATATTTCTTTCAACTACCTTGAAATCCAATGCCAAATCGTATGTATTCGGACGAAGATGGTACTGCTACAAAGCAGTCAGAGGCAATTTACTGGGATCGCATACGAACTCTGTGTTTTCTAAACTCCCTGTTATCATTTTTGGGGGTTGGAGCCTTCACTCTGAGCGACCAGTACGCTAGGGAAAACAAGTCTTCGAATCAGCTAATTTTCTTCACTAAACTTCTGTGGGCGAGTTTATCCCTCGGGAATGTAATCATAATTTTAGAAACTGCGGCTAACTCGGTGTGTAGCCCTTTCTATTACTCCATAGCCTTTGTTTGCATTGGAGTGACAACCCACTCAAGCTATATAGAGCTGGCCTTAGGGGGTCGCTACTATCTGTTCTCATTATTATCTTTCAGACTCTTGAAAGAGCTCAACGTGATGGAGAAGCTTTATTCGATTTCTCGTCATCTTCGTTCCAACTGTTCATCGCATTTGTTATTGCAAATCTCCAGATTCAATTCCCTCGCCGACCATACGTTTTCTCACCAGAAGGACGACCCGTGGATTTCGAGGGTAGTTGTTCAGCCTTCCAGCGATACACAATGCAATGGTGTATCGGCGCACTTCATGTTGCTGGAAGTATTGGGTCAGGTGAACTGCCGGTGTTGAATTATCGAACTCGATCAAAGGCCCAGCCATTGATAAAACTTTCTGAGACTTCTCTATGGGATCATGTTCTTGCTGAGCGGTATCTCGGATTCGCTAAACAGTGGATCCTGATGTTGATTCGATCAGTGGTGACATTTGGCTCTCCGTACTGCGTCATGCGATTAATAAAATGCCTGGAAGAGAGCAGAGACCCAGCAAATTTCGCCTGGTTCTGGTTAATTGGAATCGCAGCCTTTTCTACAACCGAGGCCATACTCCATCACTATCTAGCTTGGATCCAATGGTCTGAGATGGGAATCCCAATTCGCGCACAGCTCATCATGGCAATATTTTCGAAGGCCCTGAGAGTTCAAGATTCCAAGGATGCGGGTGATAAGCCTGGGGCGATCAATCTCATATCCTCTGATACACTTTCCTTTAGCAAGTTCACCGCCGTCAACTATATACTTCCATTTTCATGTATCAAGTTTCTGTTTGCAGTATTATTTCTCCTGCGGTTATTGGGATGGCACAGCACGGTGATGGCAGTTATAGCCACAACAGCAACAGTGCCAATACATTCAAGGGTCCTCAAGCAAGAGCTAGCCGCGAAAAGAAGGCTTGCAGTAGCAAGAGATAGGAAGTCGAAGGTTATCACCGAAGCTCTGCAGGCTCTTCGGCAGATCAAGTTTTCAGCCCTCGAAGCCGAGTGGGAAGAGCGCATCGAATTGTGTCGCCAGGAGGAGATGGTGCAAATGAGAAAGAGTTTCCTGGCCATCAATATTCGATCGGTTTGGAAAGTCGCATCTCCCTTTATTGTGGTAGCAGCAGCAATTTGCAGCTATGCCTATACCCAGAACGAGGTTTCATCTTCGATAATATTTACTACGATCGAGTTGTTGCCGCACATCCAAGGAACGCTAGGAATGGTTCCCATGGTCCTCCAGGATTATTTTGCCGCTCGGTCAAATTCTCGTCGCATAGAAACATTTTTAAAAACGCCAGAAATGAAAGGAGTTTTGGATGCAAGTCCAACTGGCTGTGTTTCCTTCCAAAACGCCCGCATTGCCTGGCCATTGGATCAAAATCAAAACCATCAAGGGAAGCAAGCCAGCGTACCTGAGCGGTTTGCGCTGCATAGCCTTGATATTGAATTTCCTGTTGGCGAACTCAGTATTTTACATGGAGAAACAGGGTCAGGAAAGAGTCTGGTGCTTGCTGCTATCCTTGGAGAGGTCGATCTCCTAAGTGGTCGCATCGAGGTGCCGTCTTTGAGGCAACCGGTCGGATTTGTTTCACAAACTCCATGGCTGCAGAATGCCACTGTCAAGGACAACATATTATTTGGGAGTGCACTAGATGAAACCAGGTACCGAAAGGTTCTCAGAGCATGCGCGCTCGAAGCAGACCTTGCTGCTTTGTCAAACGGAGACGAAACGTATATTGGCCTTCGTGGTGTCAAACTTAGCGGTGGCCAACGGGCAAGAGTCTCTTTAGGTAGAGCTCTCTACTCTAGTGCTAGGCTACTGGTCTTGGATGATATCTTTTCTTCGCTTGACTCTCATGTTTCTAAGGATATATTCAAAGCGCTTACTGGGGAGCTTAGCCATGGCCGCACTCGCATACTGGCCACTCATCATGTATCTTTGTGTTTGCCTCAGGCCAAGCTTGTTGTTCAGATCAAAAACAACACTATGACCTCTTCTCTCAATACCAACATGATTGAAACGCGGTTGAACGCCATGGAAACAGAAGTCCTCGTCCAACCAAATCCACCAACAAAAGAAGAACCCAAGAAGCGTGCCAATGGCAAGCACAAGATTAAGACCACCCAATCAGAATCTGATTGGGAATCTTGCAAGAGTTACTTCAGTGCTGCCGGTGGGCTAAGTTTTGCAGCAATATACATTCTTGGTTTGATTGGCAAACAATTAGTGACTGCATTAACAACATGGATTCTCGGCCATATTAATTCAAGACGCCCGAGAACAGGAACGCGCGATCCAGCAAATGCCGAGGTTGGAAGCAACCTCTGGTATTATCTGTATATGTACCTCGTAGGATGTCTGTCCGCAATAATTCTCGAGTTTCTCCTAAACATGCATATCTTTTCAGGATCGCTGCGTGCTTCAGAGAGATTGTTTCGTACGATGACTGCAAATGTCATACGAATGCCCCTTCTCTGGCTCGATACTACGCCTCTTGGGGGAATTCTGAAACGATTCAGTGCCGATGCAAGACAGGTGGATGACTTTCTGTTAGAGATCATGTCTGAGTTCGCTAACTGTCTTGTGAAACTTATTGTCGTCGGATGTATTGGGTAAGGCTTGGTTCTGCTACTACCTCTATCAGTTAGCTGACCATGCCTAGGATACACAAGTCCATCTTCACAAGCTGTTTGGCAGCAGCCCTTCTGTTTTGGTGCTCGCACGTCAGCAAGGGCTACATCAGGGCCCGGAAGCCTGTGAAACGAAGTGAATCTGAGGGAAACGCCGAAATCCTCGAATACTTCACTGCAGCCACCGCTGGAGTGTCGACTATCAGGGCTTTTGGAGTAGTGGATGACTTCATGAAACATATGCACTCTCAAGTCGATAAACTATCAATTGCTCGGCGGCATTTTTGGATTTTCAATCGTTGGCTCGGCCTTCAAATGTCTCTCATGGGCATTATCTTGAGTACCGGTACAGGTTTGCTTCTATTGTCATCGAACTCCATCCTTGATGCATCTTTGGTCGGATTTTCCTTAACCTTTTCGATGGGATTCGCTCACGCTACTTTCACCGCTGTGAATAACTTTGGAATGCTTGAGACCTATATGAACGCAGCAGTTGGGATAATCTCATATTCGAAGCTGGAACCTGAGGAGCAAGGGGGCAACGAAGTCCCACCAGACTGGCCATCTCGGGGCGAGGTCGAAGTCAAAGGATTAAGCGTTTCATACTCACCTGATCTTCCTCTTGTTTTGACAGACATCTCCATTTCTGTGGGGGCTGGTCAGAGAATTGGGATTGTTGGTCGCACTGGAGCTGGAAAATCATCCCTGACTCTAGCTCTTCTCCGCTTAATCAACCCCCAACGCGGCTCGATTCTGATTGACGGTGTTGATATTTCTACAATTAAGTTACAGTCACTTCGATCTAAGATCGCGTTTCTCCCGCAAGATCCAGTTTTATTCTCAGGTACAATCCGATCAAATCTCGATTATTTTCAAGAGGTTTCGAAGGATAAGCTAAACGAGGTCTTACGCCGCGTCAAGCTCCTCTCTGAGAATAATAACGAGAAAACGGGCTTATTCACTCTGGAGTCCCCGATCAGTACAGGTGGCACCAATATGTCACAAGGTCAAAGACAACTTCTTTGCCTTGCAAGAATCTTGATCGGGGATCCTAAAATCATCATCCTCGATGAGGCGACATCTGCTGTCGACAACGAGACAGATTTACGGATTCAAGACACGATACGGAACGAGTTTAACCGGACACTAATTGTGGTGGCTCATCGTTTGAGGACGATTGCGTCTTTTGATAAGGTGGTTGTCATTGATCACGGGCGCATTGGGGAAAGTGGAACTCCAGCAGACTTATTGAGGGCCAAAGGATTGTTCTATGAGCTCGTTCAACAGAGTCAAGATAAGGAATTTGTGACCAATTCTATATTGAACTAGGTATAGTTGATGGTAAATGATACGATATATGTGAAATTCTCTGACCTGTTACCAGCCAGTTCTTAAACAAAAGAGTGCATTTCAACGAGAATACTAAGTACAGGGAGTAAAAGGAAAGAAGAAGAAAGGAAACCTGCCTGGCAGGACCTTTGTGGGTCCTGGTCCTGTCTCCTCATACAAACCATGCAAACATCTACAAGTCGGAGACATCTGGCAGAAAACCCCGCAGGCGGCCAGTACTGGCAGAAAGGATAGTGCAGTTCAGTCTCAATCGTCACACGGGCTGTTGCACTCCCACGGATCGCGCAGAGCGCCAAAGCGGGCATGAAAGATGGCTCTGTTGTTCGTCGGCTCTGTGGGTGGCGGAACCGGGCTTACGGAGACGGGGGCCGCAGGCTCCGCTACACCAGGACTTGCTTGGCATGTGGAGACATACTAGAAATAATTCAAAAAAGACGGATGCTTAGATGCCACATCGTGGATTCCGGCCTGGCGTCTTCTTTCTCACTCCTTCTCCACCCATTCTTTTTCTTGACGCCCCTCCTCCATTCGGCCTCCCAAACGCACCCTTGAAAACTGCCCAAAAATGGCCATCGCACTTCCGACCATTGCTCGACGTGTCTTTGGCATCATCGAGCCTGTGTTGCTCATTATTACGTTCATAGTAACCGCGGTCTTTTCTGCCTACTCCGTCTCTGGTCAATTTAAGCTCAACCTTGCGAGAAATCTGCCGTTGGTAACTACGAAGATATATTTCCAGACAATCTCCCGTTGATCAATATCCACTGCTGCGATCAAAGCGACGGCCATTGCTTCTTGTGAGGCGTAGTACCCGATTTCATGCGATCAACCATGCTCTGCTGCTGAGAGAACACGGTTGAAGCCAGATCGGAGTCTAGCAAGTGCCATCTGAAACCAAACTCGGTAAAGGCGTCTCCATCATCGTTTAAAACGAAATTTCGTGAGGTGATATCCCCGCGGGGGTGCCCTAGTTCGCTTGTATTTAGTATAGGATGTCGGGGCTAGTCCCAGAGGCCAACAGTCGGACGGCTCTTGATGGTGTTGTTTTAGATACCAAACCACTTTCATAGTGAATCTGTTCGAATAGTGATGTCATGTGTCATCCAGGGCGCGGTGAGTTTGACAAATATATAATTGATGCTCAAAGGACAGTGGAGGTAGCGGATGTAGAGAATTTAGCGATTTCCTGGCAAGAGCTGCTTGCGTAGCTAATCGCGATATATTAAAAGACCGTGTCAATGGAAAATGGATACACGCAGTCAGCTTGACTAACCTGCAGCTGCAGTGACATGCATTGTAGATATCTTTGCACATATTGCTTGGGCTCGGATAGAAACATGCGTGCTTAGGAATCAAATCTACCCACCATCTGTCCAACAGGAGACATCACAACAATTCTGACAGCCCCTCATGATGCAACTTCGTGCTTATCCGATTGGTTCGTATCCGCTCACCTGAATTCCTCGAACAGCTCAGCAACGCGAAATGGGATCAAGTGGGATTGTACCAGACGGTGATCCTTGGGTCGTGAGCTCTCTCATTGGTTTGGCTGTGTCTCGGGATAAGACGGTCTCGTCATTTCGATTCGTAGCTGAGATGACCAATATTAACTTGGTAGGCTAGAAATGACGAGACTTTTGCCTCGCCTCGCCTTCTCCTTGCACGCGGACTTGGACTAGTAACCTGGCCGTCTGCGAAGGTGAGGCTCACCTGCCATGAAGCAAGACAGGAAAATCAGCATTCCTCGGGTTTTTTTGGTATTTCCAGGCTTGGAAAGACGCAAGATGCCATCCAAGGGAAAGAAAGATCACCCAATAGAGGCCCAGGATTCCAAGGCACAAGGAGGCGATCATTTGAGGGGTTCAAATGCCGAGAGACAAACAGTGGTACCCGCTCATTGGAGTTTAGGTCTTGTATATTCATCAACGCATGATCTGATGCACAGGATCGATGGGAAGAAAAAAGCCGAGGTACACAATATCTGCCAGTGACTCATCGTCGATGTCACCAGTAGTCATAGTGGAAAACATAGACAGAATGCGATCATATTGGGATAGAGGAGCTCGAGCAGACAAGACAGTTGCTCGCTTCGCATTCGACTCGAGTGACGGGAATATGAGGGTGTCCTGTTGTAAGATTCGAGTCAGCAGGGATTGATCCAGTTGCACGAGTTGCGATTGTCTCTTACCTGTTCATAAAGTCCGCAGAGTGTACGCTTGAGACTCGACAATCAATTAGCACCCTGATAATATCAGCTTACCAACTAGATCACTTACAATTCTCTTCAACAATGCAGTCACCATTCATGCCATGTTGTATCCAGGTTCGTCGCACTATCTGGCTGTCGCTTCAAAAAAGCCGCACCGCTCGTTTTCCTGAGACGGCAAAAAGCGCGTGACAAACTCACCAGGGACAAGAGATTGTACAGTCAAAATGGGAGAACGCTTTGCGATGCGGGCGACCAGAGGTTCAGGCACTCTTCCGTTCATGGTGTAAAGGCGGTGAGGACGGAAGACGCGATAAAGCGCGTCGAAGTGCCCCTTGGTCTTATCTCTCTGTGCATAGACAATTGATCTGTTCGGCCGATCCAAATTTGTGGAAAATTAGAGATCTCCTGGCCCTCATTGAGGTTGGCAACGACAGTGCCACGTTGCTCATGCCAGTTAATTATAATATACGATTACGCCCGAGATGGATCGTATCCTGGGAGCATTTTGCCAAACCCGCCTGCTTGAAGGTCTCTTGTGTCTCACTGATGATACAGTCAAATTTAAGCGATAGTTTTTTCCTAGCTAATTGTAGTATACGAATTTAGAGAATATAATTTTGAAGTTATTCTAGATTAGCTTACTTGTGTTTATAACAATCTTAATAAAGTTTATAAGACAGAGAATTGTTTATTATCTATTCGATAAGATTCCTCTAACTCTGTTATTATATATATCTCCTGTTTTAAATAATTACTATATGAAGTAAAGGATTAAAACTAATCTAATATTATAAAGATCTCTATCTTATGTAAGGGTTTGATATTATCTATTAAAAACTGTCTTTCTTAATAATTGAATTTCCCTGAAATTTATCCTGACTTTGTTAAAGTTGTTCAATAGCTTGCTACTTATACGCAAACTAGTAATTTTAGTAATTTTGGTAAATCTAGTTAAAATAGTAAAACTAGTAACTCTGGTGGTAGATCTGACGTAATAGATATCTCTCTTAGTGCCACTACTACTAATGCTACTATTGTTCCTGACCCTAAATTGGTTGATTTGGAAGGGAGTGATTCTGATAATTCATACTATCATTAATTGATTTGGCTATTTTGATATCAAGGGACTAATACCTTTACTTTATTAGGGGGTAGTATCATGCTCTATAAGCATTATATATTCGTTTGTTTACTTGCTTGCTGCCCCGCGCCCTGTTTGCTTGCTTTGCTCGCTTTGCTCACTTTGCTTGTTTTGTTTGCCTTGCTGTTTAGCTTACTTCTTTCATAGCTTCTTCTTCTTCTTCCTCCTTCCTCTCCTTATCATTAATATCGTCATTTCTTGGACCTTCAATATCAGAAGCTTTACCAGCCTAACAAACAGACTATGATATACCTTAAATATAATAAATAGTTTACAGCTACCTATAAAAAGCTGAAATATTACAATATAAATAGTACCTAGTATGTTATCAATCGCTCCGGGGTATGAGAATGTACTCCGTACCCCGTACTGTAGCTGTAGTCCACGGGTACCTGCAGCAAGTGCCCAATTATTGATTCTTTGGGGAGGCTCCGTGGGCAAGGTATATTCGGTAGAGATCTCCATCCCTGCCGGAGGTAAGGGGTGGTTGCCAGTTATGTACTCCGTATCTCCCATATAAAATAACCAACGAGACTTCAGGAGTACATGGTAAAGTCTAGCTAATGGTCACTTCCATGATCTCTGACAATCAGGGGATTTCCATCGTTCGCAAGTATCCTTTCCAAATCAAATCCGATCGCTAAACCGTCACCCTGCTCCTCCGCCTCGCGAAATCCTGGCGCATAGTCATCCACCAGATCAACTTCATTCCCTTTGTAGATTTCCACAAGCGGCCGTCGCATATCGACTCTAAGCACCAATTAACATAAACCATCTCGTAACCAAGAATGGACAGACTCACGGTTCATCCTCCAAAATCTCTCTTGGATCTGCATCTTCGTCGCGGTCTATGTAAATTTCCCGGTCCTCAATGTAATTGAGCGCCTGGTCTATTGGGACTCGATTTCCCGGACCGATTTCCCGATAAAAGTGGGCGAATTCCTCCATCATAATTTGACCCCGACGGGCTATCTCGTAGATACCGTTGGTTGCAAAATCAACCCAGAGACCTAGTCCGGTCTCAAGGGTCCGGTCATCGATAATAAGCTTGGGGGAGCAGTCTCTGAAAAGTACAGTTCCATCAAGCGCCATGTGCATATCGAGGAAGTTGGGTCGCGCGACACTTTGATGGAATTTAAATGTCTCGAGAACATTCCCCTTATTGTCTTCAGGGGGAACAAACACTATCATTTCGTCTGCTAGAAAGTCCCAGCCGTCTTCCCATGGGAATAATCCCAGGATACACTTGGCGAGCAGGGCTTCTTTCTCGGGGGGTTAATTCGGTGGTGCAGAAGTAGACCATGCAGGAACTTTGAACGTCATTGGCTCCGAAAGTTTTATCCTATACTTGGATTAGGACAAGTCAGGTAGTAGGATGTATTTAATTGTTTCATACCGCAAGTTCAGGACCTTCAAAAAAACTAGGCTCGTCCTCTGGGGCTCGTGATTGATAGCTCTGTCATGGTGTCAGTGAAAAATAAAAATTCTTATCCAAAAGACATACATCGCGGAATTGTTGGTCTGCTGTTGCCCAGCGTTCGATCAACGCTCGTTTCTGTTGATCCGCGCCGTCGCCACCGACCCACTGCTCACGAACAAAATGCCTCCATGCACGAGAGGCGGCATCAAAATTCTTCCGGGCCACGGGTTCCTCATGTCGGCGAATGAAAGAGGGGATGCCTCTAGGCCACTGGCTATGTGATCTTGTTAAGGACATGATCGAATGGTGGTAGTTCCGGGGGTTGAAAAGAAGTTTAGTGAGGAACGTGGGGGGCGGGAATGTATTTAACGGAGTTTGATACATGCCCGCCCCAAGTTTGCACTAAGGCATCAAATCTAGTTATATTTTCAAAAGTTCCTGTACAAACTCATCTCAAACACACTAAACCTGTATTATGCGACCTTGGAATCTTTACGACTAAGCTTTGATAGGGGAGATTAAGTGGTTGCGAGCTCGGATATACACCCCTGGAGTGGGTCTTTGGCTTAAAGGGTTTTCGTTGAAGTGGATCGATCACAAACTTGGTGTGCACTAAGTAGCGTCTTTTCCGGCCTAGCCGCTTGCTTTCAAAATTCTGGTTGTAAAGTTGTAAATTTGTGCCAAAATCATTGAAATGTAAGCGAAAGTTTGATATTCATAAATTCCAGGTTTCCATGCACTACTATGTGCCAGTTAACAGCCAGCTGGTAAATCCCAGTTCTATATTCCAGTAATTAAAACTAGAAGAAAATATGGCATATATAAACATTTGACATGCCTTGAAGACCATAGCCGAATTTTGTCCGACAGTGAACTTTATAACTCTAGGGCATTGAGTGTCCCACCCCCAAACCAAGATCAACCACACGAGCCATACTTAGCATTACAATTGGCGCTGGAACAATACTCCGACGAACTACCACAATAACCGTAGTTACTACAGCAGTCACCAAATTGAGATCCCAAACAAGTCCAGTCCGAATTAGATGGGCCACAGAGACCGTTCTCCGAAATCGTACTCGTAGGAGTCGCAACTGTGGTAGAGGTCGCCGTAGTGACCGTAGATGATGCGTGAGGGCTAGCTGTTTGGCTAGAAGTGAATACCGTCGAGCTTCCCATACTTGGATCATCGGTCAATATAATGCTGAAGTTGAACCCGGTGGTCGGGAAAGAACCGTTCACGGGAGGATAGCACACGCGCTCGTATTCACTTAGCCAGACTTCATCGTGGTACATCTCGTCTGTTAGATCGTCATCGGTGATGTTGTACACTGAGTTGACCTGGTCGCAGAGAGTGTAGGTCGCGAGAGATGCGAGGTATGCTGAATCAGGGGTCCAGGTTGAGGCCGTGGTTAGGTCGGAAGGGAATGACCAGAACAGATTGGTGGTGCTATGGTTTGCTGTTCGGGTTGCGTTGAGATTCATGGTGCTAGCAAGTGATGTGCGTGTTCTTGTGGTGTTGGATATGTAGCTTGTATAGGTGTTGATGTTACCCACTGCTTGAACGCACTGTGGAGTGGATGGGTTAGCCTGAAAAGAACGATATGTCTTGGTTATTTTCTCGTGTAGAGAGACGTACGTAGCTGTTCCCTTTCCAGAGGCTGCCGCAACTGGAGGTTGCATTCAATGCGGCCTGGGGATTTAAGAAATTGAAATTATATTGAGAGATGCTGAATTTGTCGCACACGGATTCACAGGTATCACCATCTTGGATCTGATACCAGTGACCACAGTCGGTGTTGGAGCTAGTGACTGCGTCGGTAGGAAGAGACCTGTATATTTGATTAGCATTTTCACTTTCCGAACAACCGAGCGAAACAAAATAGCAGACAACATACACAGCGGTGCTTGCGGGCCTAAGAGCCAGGGTATCGGGGAGTGTGAGAGTACCCGGAGGACTGACGCAGATGTACTTCCCCGAAACAGCCGTCAGATTCTGCGAGCTTTGCGCTGAGTTGAGATTGGCATTCCATGCAACAAACTGAGGCACAGAGACTTGACGCGATAGGCTCGCAACGATTTTGTCAATGGTATCCGTCTCCTGAACGCGATAGATCTCACAAACATCGGGAAGGCAAATCTCTGCCCCAGCAACTATATGCGTACACCCCGTATCAAGGCTGTTCAAGTTTATCAAGACTGAGGTTGAGACATTTTGAGCTGCTGAGATAGAAAGACAGGTATCTCCGGATTCAACCTTGTAAACAGTTTGATCGGGGTCAGTCGTGTTGCAGCGACTAGCGGCAACAGTGGCCGAGGCAGAGGCCGTGGAAGAGGCAGTCGAGGTTGGTGTATAAGTCACAGAGTATCCGCTGGTCGAGCAAGAAGATACTTGACTCGTTAAGGCCGACGGACTGAGCAAAATATCCTGACCCCATTTGGAATTCACTAGGGTTGACAAATACTCCAAATAGCATGCGCTGCATTTGATGTTTGTTGTGCCATTCGAAATTGCATTTTGGAATAGGGTGTTGCAATAGGTGCCCGAAGCCGAATCAGTCAAGCAGGTTGCATCGTAACGCCATTTCATTTCTTTGCCTCTATCCGAGGCAGTTTGTGAGATACCGGAGATGTTGTACTGCGTACTTGTGCCGCAGGCTTCGTCCACAGAGGAGACATAGCTTGACAAAGCGGAAGAGCAACCGCTGGTACACATTTCCGACAGTGCATTGGCTGACCATGATGTCGTCTGGGTGACTGCCTGGCTCAAGCCGGCATAGCATGAAACATTGCTGGACATGGCATTCACGCATGCTTCTGAAGCTGATATATCAGCCAGAGTATCAGAGTTGTAAATGTAGAGAGTGTCTGAATTTCCCCAAGCAGCGGCATGATGAGACTGTAGCATCAGAACTACTGCCAATGCAGCACTTGCCCTCAAGAGTGCCATAGCTCTATGACTGAAAGAGAATTCAGAGCGCGAATTGATTTTCCTTGAACCTGGGACATGAGCAATCCCAAAGGAGGGGGAGTAATGGCTACTCAAACTACTTGTTCGGCAGGGAAACTTCGGTGTTTCGTATTGACGCCTTCATACCAACCAATTTACCACCTTATCAAAAGGAGCTAGAAGTGGGGAGGCCCATTGGAAGTTCAAAGTACCAAGCTAAATCTGAGACATCCGTCGAAATCCACTAAGCGAGGTACAGGAAAAAGTGGTTCGGCTTGAGCACTAGACAGCCCATTCAAGTGGAAAAGTGGGTGAAGCTTTAGGCTATACATCAAGTCCCGAAGCCAGTCCCACTTAGCGGGTAGGGGCCGAGATCCCCTGAACGTGTTAGAGGGCCCCATGTTGGGGGCCAAGGGGGCCAAAATTTCCACATGGGTCCGCCAAGAATAATGGACTTAGACGATAGAAAAGAATTGTAGACAAACAGATCAATGGCTGAAGCTTACATTCTTGGCTATAGCTTGGCTTGCTAGGATGCAGATGCGGCTCTAATGCCAAGTAAAATGTAGGAATTAACAGTATACCTTTCACATCGGATGCATTCTATCCCATGGGGGAGGGGGGACTGACGGTGAGTCGGATTAGGGTTTTGCATTTTTGTATGGGAGAAGAAAAGTGGGCCCACGGCCAGTCGAGTTAATTTTCACACGGCCAGTCGATTTAGCAGTTGGCGTCGGATCATACTTAGATTTCCAGGAGTTGTATTCCCAGTATTAGATTTTAAACAGCTTCAATTTGGAGTCAATTTGACTAGTATTGATCGACATTTTTACGATTGAAAATCGGGTGGTTTTTTGGTGAGGGCCTAGATATGGAGATGCGACCGGAGTAAACCACCTAAAACATCAACATTGGGGTTAACAAATTGATCAGTCTAAGATACAATTGGACGATTATAAGACTAAGATAAGATTCAGGGGTAATTGGAAGTCCCAGCTATCGTCTAGTTTAATTTTGGAAAAATTCTACCACTTCATCTACTCCAGTTTGTTATACAATTTCGATACTTGTTGTGTACATTTATATATAAATCCAAACTGCAATATAGAGAACGAGATTTTTATTAAACCGCGGGAATTTCCTATCATTATTTATAAATAATATAAGATCGGAGTCCGACTAAGTAAAGTCAGTCGTTATATTTAGGGAGCCTAATACCGACTAGGATTACCTACCGGAAGGCAGTTACAGTACGCTATCCAGTAGTAGAACCGAGTATAAGAGTGTGAACGTTGGGAAGTGCCCACCGCTGTCTACGATCCTATTCCCGGATTGCTAGTTTACTAAGATGGATTATTGTGCACCCGTATATCCGAATGCGGATATATAGTCCGGAGCGTTGACGTTATAAAGCGCTATTGGCGTGAGAAGCACGGCTGGAAGCCTAGTAGTAGTAAAGGTCGTCCCCGGGCTACTACCTGTGATAATACCTAGCAGCAGATATAGTAGTTCAGCCGTACAGTCACGTACCAGCAGGTATTTGACTATAGTACGGGTAGGCATTATATCTACGTGCAGGGCTATAGTTCGGACCAGAATCTACCAGTTGATCTATTAGCCGAATACAGGCACATATTAAAGCCTCTATTCTATGATATTTATATCTTTTATATTTTTTAGACAAACTCATAGTATATATAAACCTATATGTGAAGCCTGTATAATTTTATCTATTTTATTTAATTCTTTGGAAGGGGTTGAAGTTTGTCAACTGGATCGGTAGCTTTGGTTCAAAATTCCGAATCGGGTTAGCGTTTGGTCGAAAATTCCCAAAAGGGAAGCTTTGGTCTAAAATGCAGAAGTTATCATCTGAACTGAACTTCTGCATTTTGGACCAAACCGAACTTCTGCATTTCCGACCATCGCCTACTCCCACAAATTTGACCACGCCATATATCTGTTTTAAGATAAAAAAGATACCAATTGGTCCTTCTAATTAGACTGCGACATCGCCCGTCCATGGGCACCTAGGAGGTGCCCAAGGCCCGTCCACGGTGGGCCTTGGGCTATTTGGATTTTCGAGTGCCCGTCCATAACGCCCAAGGCCCACGGGCATGCCCACGGCGGGCATGCCCACGATGCCCACCATTGCATAAAGTCACCCAAAATGGACGTATAACTCGCTGACTTTGCATAATAAATAACTGTTATTTACACCTGTTTTGCCAACTCCATGTAAAATGGCAGTTTTAATCTACAACATCTATAAATTTTACTGAAATATCTATGTATATGAGAAACTAGTATATATATGATACGAATTGGAATAAAATTTTAATCGAAATAC